TTTCAATGTTTTCAATAAATGTTTTCTACAAATATTCGGGGTCACGTGGCGTCCCCCCCCCCCCCCCCGCATCAGCGCCACAGCCGTGGGATGTTTTTAGAAAAAAATGTTTAATGAATACAAAATAAAAAATAATTACAAAACTGAGAAATATCAGCCCAAAGAGGGAGGGGAAAAAAACCCAACCGACCCAATTTTTTGGCTAAAGGGCAATACAACATCTTTATGAAAGATAATGACCATTATAAATAGAGACTCTCATTCCGCATTATGAATAGCGACCCTCATGTCCATTTTCCTAAATAAACCTGGGAAACCTCGGTCTTTCGATAGACAAAAGAAGATTACTAAATTTGGCGCATGGTTTAATGGTGTTGGCACTCGGTTTAATGGTGTTGGTTTGTTTGAGACTAATATAGCCTCTAGATGGATTCATTAATGAGATATATATTTAATCAAATCAGACTTAGTGATGTTATCGAGCATCTTACTAGTATCAAATTTCCAATCCCCTAAATAAACCCGGAAACCTCGGTCTTTCGATACACAAATTTTTAAAGAAGATTACTAAATTTGGCGCATGGTTTAATGGTGTTGGCACTCGGTTTAATGGTGATGGTTTGTTTGGGACTATATAGCCTTTAGATGGTTTCATTTATGAGACATTATCTCGGATCAAATCATAGACTGACCGATCTTTAATATCAAGCATTTTACTAGTATTAAATATTCCATTTTCCTAAATAAACCCGTGAAACCTCGGTTTGTCGATACACAAAAGAAGATTACTAAATTCGGCACATGGTTTAATGGTGTTGGCACTCGGTTTAATGGTGTTGGTTTGGATGAGACTATATAGCCTTTAGATGGTTTCATTAATGAGATATATCTCGGATCAAATCATATACAGAGTGATGTAATCAAACATTATAGTATCATATTTCCAATTCCCCAAATAAACCCGGAAAACCTCGGTCTTTCGATACACAAAAGAAGATTACAACATTTGGCGCATGGTTTAATGATGTTGGCACTCGGCTTAATGGTGATGGTTTGTTTTAGACTATATAGCCTTTAGATGGTTTCATTTATGAGACATATCTCGGATTAAATCATATACTGACCGATGTTTAATATCAAGCATTTTACTAGTATTAAATTTCCATTTTCCTAAATAAACCCGTGAAACCTCGGTCTGTCGACACACAAAAGAAGATTACTAAATTTGGCACATGGTTTAATGGTGTTGGCACTTGGTTTAATGGTGTTGGTCTGTTTGAGACCAGGGGAGTGTTTCACAAAGATCCTAAGTTGAACTTAACTCTAAGTTGGACTTAAAATTTATGGGAAGCCATTAGCATCCTTGAAAATATTTTTTTAAATTTTTTTTAGAAGGCATAAAATGTTGATTCAAATCATTCATATTTTCTATTATAATGGGAGATTTCATGTTCTTGATGTGGAATTGATGAAAAGTCTAAAATACTCCAATTTTTTGCTTATGAATATATTTCATTTTAAGGCTCCAATGGCTGTCCATACTTTTTAAGTCCAACTTAGTGTTAAGTTCTACTTAGGATCTTTGTGAAACACTCCCCAGAATGCCTTTGCATGGTTTCATTAATGAGATATATATCTAATCAAATCAGACTTAGTGATGTTATCGAGCATCTTACCAGTATCAAATTTCCAATTCCCTAAATAAACCCGGGAAACCTCGGTCTTTCGATACACAAAAGAAGATTACTAAATTTGGCACATGGTTTAATGATGTTGGCACTCGGTTAAATGGTGCAGGTTTGTTTGAGACTATATAGCCTTTAGATGGTTTCATTAATGAGATATATCTCGGATCAAATCATATACAGAGTGATGTAATCGAAAATTATAGTATCATATTTCCAATTCCCTAAATAAACCCGGAAAACCTCGGTCTTTCGATACGCAAAAGAAGATTACTAAATTTGGCGCATGGTTTAATGTTGTTGGCACTCGGTTTAATGGTGTTGGTTTGTTTGAGACTATAGCCTTTAGATGGTTTCATTTATGAGATATATCTCGGATCAAATCATATACTGACCGATGTTATCAAGCATTTTACTAGTATTAAATTTCCATTTTCCTAAATAAACCCGGGAAATCTCGGTCTTTTGATACACAAAAGAAGATTACTAAATTTGGCACATGGTTTAATGGTGTTGGCACTCGGTTTAATGGTGTTGGTTTGTATGAGACTATATAGCCTTTAGATGGTTTCATTAATGAGATATATCTCGGATCAAATCATATACAGAGTGATGTAATCGAACATTATAGTATCATATTTCCAATTCCCCAAATAAACCCGGAAAACCTCGGTCTTTCGATACACAAAAGAAGATTACAACATTTGGCGCATGGTTTAATGATGTTGGCACTCGGTTTAATGGTGATGGATTGTTTGAGACTATATAGCCTTTAGATGGTTTCATTTATGAGACATATCTCGGATCAAATCATATACTGACCGATGTTTAATATCAAGCATTTTACTAGTATTAAATTTCCATTTTCCTAAATAAACCCGTGAAACCTCGGTCTGTCGACACACAAAAGAAGATTACTAAATTTGGCACATGGTTTAATGGTGTTGGCACTCGGTTTAATGGTGTTGGTTTGTTTGAGACCAGAATGCCTTTGCATGGTTTCATTAATGAGATATATATCTAATCAAATCAGACTTAGTGATGTTATCGAGCATCTTACCAGTATCAAATTTCCAATTCCCTAAATAAACCCGGGAAACCTCGGTCTTTCGATACACAAAAGAAGATTACTAAATTTGGCACATGGTTTAATGATGTTGGCACTCGGTTAAATGGTGCAGGTTTGTTTGAGACTATATAGCCTTTAGATGGTTTCATTAATGAGATATATCTCGGATCAAATCATATACAGAGTGATGTAATCGAACATTATAGTATCATATTTCCAATTCCCCAAATAAACCCGGAAAACCTCGGTCTTTCGATACACAAAGAAGATTACTAAATTTGGCGCATGGTTTAATGTTGTTGGCACTCGGTTTAATGGTGTTGGTTTGTTTGAGAATATAGCCTTAAGATGGTTTCATTTATGAGATATATCTCTGATCAAATCATATACTGACCGATGTTATCAAGCATTTTACTAGTATTAAATTTCCATTTTCCTAAATAAACCCGGGAAATCTCGGTCTTTTGATACACAAAAGAAGATTACTAAATTCGGCACATGGTTTAATGATGTTGGTACTCGGTTAAATGGTGCAGGTTTGTTTGAGACTATATAGCCTTTAGATGGTTTCATTAATGAGATATATCTCGGATCAAATCATATACAGAGTGATGTAATCGAACATTATAGTATCATATTTCCAATTCCCTAAATAAACCCGGAAAACCTCGGTCTTTCGATACGTAAAAGATTACTAAATTTGGCGCATGGTTTAATGGTGTTGGCACTCGGTTTAATGGTGTTGGTTTGTTTGAGACTATAGCCTTTAGATGGTTTCATTTATGAGATATATATCTCGGATCAAATCATATACTGACCGATGTTATCAAGCATTTTACTAGTATTAAATTTCCATTTTCCTAAATAAACCCGTGAAACCTCGGTCTTTCGATACACAAAAGAAGATTACTAAATTTGGCGCATGGTTAATGGTGTTGGCCCTCGGTTTAATCGTGATGGTTTGTTTGAGACTAGAATGCCTTTGCGTGGTTTCATTAATGACATATATCTTGGATCAAATCATATACAAAGTGATGTACTCGAACATTATAGTATTACAATTTTCATGTTGCTAAATAAACCAGTGAAACCTCGGTATTTCGATATAAAAAATAATCACTAAATTTGGGGGCATGGTTTAATGCTGTTGGCACTCGGTTTAAGATATGTTTGAGACTTATAGCCTTTAGATGGTTTTATTAATGAGATATATATCGAATCAAATCATATCGAGCAACTTACCAGTATTAAAATACATGAAACGCCTATTATTTTACTAAATATTGTGGCTGTCAACTATTTAAGCAACATGCAAGTAATATTTTGTAAGTGGGTTTAGGTAGGCCTAGGTAGGTAGGAACTGCATTGAACTGCTGGGTGCACATGTTTTCTTTTCTTCAGTTTTCTTTTTTCTACAAATCATCTTTTAGAAAGTTCCTTAGTATGAAGCCACGAAAGAGTAAAATATTATGAAAAAAATACCTATTTGTTATTACAAAACTAGCTAGATTAGGGAGTGTAGTTGCTTTCAATTCTCTGTTCGTACTTGGCTTCACGGAGTAATTCGTCCTCTATGGCGATTCTCTTCATTCCGGAGCAACGTACATGTACTAATACTTACAAACGTACTCGTGTACTAGTACATGTGTATATGACACACTACGCACGCCGCACGTCTGTGACGTAGGGACTAATGAATATTCATGACTCCACTAAAGCTCGTGTATTGTTGACGGTATTGTTTTGCCCCTAGATGGCGCTATGGCAGCATGACAGTATAGGTAAATTGGATGGATAGTAATTCTGTTTTGCCCCCAGATGGCAGCATGACAGTAAGGATAGGCCTATATACTCCACTAAAAGACAAATTTATACAGTGAAACCAATTCATGAACATCAGTAAAAAAAAAAAATAAAAAAATAGAAGGAGATATTTACCAAAAGCGGTCTTTATTAAAAGGCTATTTCGTTGTATTCATCACTGACATTTCAACACTTTAATGATCATGTACAATTAATTTTTTTTTTCTTTCTATGAGCAATACAATGTATTATACTGCTTTGGAAATTGACTCAAAATTTGCTGTGCATTTTCTATTTCTGCTCATGTTTAATGTGTACGTAATTCCATACTTGATTTACAAAAAGCAATCTGAATCAGAATATATTTTTCAAAAATTTCCAAACAGAAATAATGAACTGCTATATGGGTTAATTATGATTGTCTTAATAGACAAAGAACTTACCACCATTGGGAGGGTTGTATCCGTCACAGCTTGCCTGTGGGCGACGCTCCTCATAAAGATCACAATATCCCTCACTCAGAATAGCCCTTTCACAGCACATTTGTCTAGGTACAACGTCCTCACCTAAAACATTGAATAGATTTCAGGATAATTTATTATTAAGCAGTCCTTTACAGTGTACTTATCATCAAAAATGTGTTCTTATGTGTGTCAGTAAATCCTTGTGTTGATGATATACATGTTTATTCAAAATATGGGTTTCAAATATTACTGTATAAAATAGAGATTGACACAACCTTCAACATCGACGCACCTGCATAAAAAGCTATTTTGTTTATATAGTAGGATGTAGAGCAATTGAGTTGCTCGTATAGAATCGTCTTTAATTGCTTGTTCACATACCCACTCTTAATCCTAACGCTGAACCTCAACCCTAAATCTTTTACCCCAAATGTAACCCGAACCCTTACCCGAATCTAAAATCACAATTGTATTACATCATCAGACACCAGTACTAACATTTGGTTATTGGAGAAGAATGGTTAATTACTGAGAGCATGAATAATTATGAGGTGGTGGTATATTCGTTGTATTCTTCCAACTTGCCACTGGATCAATAACAAGAGGACATGATTTCAAGATTGTTAAACAACGTTTTAACACAAGACTTAGGCAGTATAGTTTCTCAATAAGGAGTGTAAACAATTGGAATGCCCTGCCTAAGGAAGTAGTCAATGCTACCACCATTAACCAATTCAAGTCATCCCTAGAAAGGTATTGGAGAAACAATCCAATAAAGTGTGAACCATACTTGAGACGGGATGCAACAGTAAAGAGGGACAAATAAGCGAAGCTTCCAGTCTCTACACCCAAGTATACCCAAGTAAGTAAGTATATAGCCGTATTTAGTCGACCGTCACTAGCTAATCTGTGACAAATTCACGTCCCGCAATTACCTTGAACCCAAGTCTGACTAAAGCTATAGTCAGAAGCTTTATTCTTAGTTTCTTCATGCACTTGACTGTACTTCTTTTTTGTTAGCCCATAGCATGCAGGTGATGTGTTTTTTTTAGGTTTGATTTTATACATTGTAGCTAGACACACATTATCTTTAAGGTGATTGGTATTTACTGTTTGCTAATGTGAGGCACAAACAGTATAATATTGAATATAATGTAGAATACATATATACATGAAAGTTAATATGCTTAGCACTACAATGTATTGAGCTTCTCATATCAGCTCAATTATTATGTTAACCAAATGATTGGTGAAAGGCAGCCACATGTGATTCATTTATTTAGATTATCACATACCTATATATACCGGTATATACATATAATATGAATATAGGAGTGACATGTATAATGTACTATGTAGAGAGAGAGAGAGAGAGAGAGTGAATGGAGGGGGCGAGGGTACTCAGATTTTGTTTGGACGGGGGTGTGACTCTCAAGCTCAAAACCCGTATCCATTTTCATTAGTCATTTTGGTAGAAAAAAATACAAATTTGTAATGATTTTTCTCGAAATTTAGGTCAATTTTTTACCTGCAAACACTGACAATTTTGGAACAACGGACCCATGTCAAGCTACATTTTTATTAAAAACGGAATCCATGTTTAGAGATTCTTTATTGAAAAAACTAAATCATTAGAGCGACATATCCCCATATGTCTTAAACATATGTGAGTACCTAATATCGATTGACGACTGATCACTGACTGATCAGATCTCTAGTGCTTGACGACTATATCCCAGCGTTTTGATGAAAGTGGGGATTTTTAACAACTTTACATTTTCTACGGGCTGATATTTCCAAACATATAAATGAAACTTACTTTTCCATTCATCATATGGATCGTCATATCTTCTTCGAGATCTGGGAAGTAAGAGTGCATGGAAATTGCTGGATTCCCATAGGTTCTGGTAGTCTGTGACTAGAGCACCACTAATATAGGTACAGCGGAAACCCTCATCACCATCCGTGGTTGACTGGAAGCATTGCACTGAATCTAAGCGGGCGAAGGGGGTTGGGAATGGGTAATGGAGGGGGCAGAATGTGGAGAAGGGAATATGGGAGGGGTAGGGTGTGGGGAAGGGGTTAGGAGGGATTGGGGGTTGGGAGGGATTGGGGGTTGGGAGGTGTCGGGGAATAGGTTAGGAAGGGGGTCGATAAGATGTACAAGTAATAAGGCTAAAGCCACGTACATGTACATTGAGATGAACCCAAACGTTTAAATAAATAATGAAACTTGTATGTTTTTTACAATAACTATAATGATATCATGAAAGAGTTTCATCAGGATGGTTCTAATAATGATTTTAAATTTCTGTTATCACATCGAAACAGTTTGTTAAATTTTCCTTTTAAAGAACTTTAAAATCATTATAATTGAATCCTAATGTTAATCTCTGTGAGCAGTAACATTTACATGAAAAACTGAAATAATTTCCTCTTTCGGAAAAATAAGGAAAAGTTAAGTTTTAATATATATGTCATGTATCAATATTATAGCTACATGTTTTTATATAAAGCTGAATGAAAATTTATAAAAAACAGTTCTCTCACAGCACGACTTTAACATATTAATTATTATTGAATTGAATGTCGATTTCAACAACATAGGCCTAATATACACACTAATTTTAATGATATATAATTTTGGGGGTTTAAAAGTTGCAAACAATAATTCATCATGCTAGGCAGGGGCGTACGCAGGGGGGGGGGGTTTTTGGGGATTCAAACCCCCCCCCCCCCCCCCTTTGGTATTTTAATGTATGTAAACCCCCTAAAAAAACCTTTTTTTTTTATTATAAAAAAAAAAAAAAAAAAAAAAAAAAAAATTATACCCACGGCTAACCTAAATAAGGTGACCTTACCCCCCCCCCCCCAACGAAAAAAATGTCAAATTTTGAAATTTAGAGACCAAAAAAAAAAAAAAAGTGTCCGCTTACCCCCCCCCCCCCCCCCCCCCCCCCCCCCCCCCCCCCCCCCCCCCCCCCCCCCCCCCCCCCCTGAGCGACTTTTCGGCCGGCGCGATTTTCAAATTTTCGGGAGCAAAATATTTTAAAACCCCCCCCTTGAAAAAATCCTGCGTACGCCCCTGATGCTAGGCAGCAATTGCTGTTTATGTTTGAAGTCAAAGAGGCAATATTTATAGCAAACATCAGTCATCTTGGGATATTTTCGAACTTACTATAACTAGCACTACTGAAATCAGGATCGTTGCCCCTTGGAAAAGTACATCTTCTGAAGTTTACGTCTCTTCTAGCTTGTCTCCTTGAACAAGGGCACACAGATGCATCGGAATAGGTGTAGGTCACCCTGAGGTCATTCTCATACCACTTCAGACACTCAACACATGGGTTGACAAAATCGGCACCATTGAGGTCTAGGCGATAAATGTAGCTGCCCTGAGTATACAAATGTCACAACAACAAGTTTAAAGTAAACTGATCATTAATACACAAACTATACTCCATGTAAGATATGACTTGACATCACCACTTAGCACGAAATATAATATTGTGAAACATATTTTATGTTAATCTGCATATTGTAAAAGGGTAATAATAATAATTATGGACATTCCTATATTTCACAGACCTAACTAACTGGATCACATGTGATTTCTGCAAAGGTACAGGTGACCAAATTTGTATTCCGTATTCATCTCAGGTTTGTTATTCATTTAAAGTGTATCAATCAGAGAAAAAGCATATTTATAATGTAGCCTTAAAATAAAATATCATTGCTTCCAATTGAAGAACATATTATATAATCAATTAATTAGCCCTCAATAAACCCTTGTCCTGAAAGTGCTAAACAGATAAGAACAGCTTACCATCTGACCCGTATTTCCTGTGACCAAGTCTCGTCGATAACTATTATATTTAGTGTCCTGATCAGTATCTTCATACAGATTCATTACATCGTCAATGTTACTGTATCCCACTCGTGCTGGAAGTTCTTTCAAACTAGTATGCCATTGAAGGTCCCCTGCCTGGTAGTTCATCATTACACCTGTCTGTTTGCCGTCGGTGAAGACCACAGCCTGGTAGGTGTTTGTCTATGTAATAAATAATAATGATAATATACAGTAGGCTTGCGGGTGCACCATGTGTGAGAGAGAGGGAGGATTGAGGAGTCCTGAAAAGTGAATAATGATAAAAGCTACATTTCGATTGGGTAAGTATTTATCCTAGGGATGCTCATTGCGCCTACAAAGTGATTACCCTGGCTTCAGTCTAGCTGCCCTCAGGCGCTAAAAGCATTCAACAATAAATTCCTACCAGGTACCTATTTACTAAACCTGGATGGAGAGTGACAAATGCAGATAAATGTATTGCCAAAGGAAATTATTAATGGAGAGGGACTTGAACTGCGAAATATATCTTAACTACAGCAGGGTAATCGATGTATTCACCAGACATAGTTTATCCTAAGGAAAATCAGATTAAACCTTGAGCATTTTAGCAAAAGAGAAAGTCATTTACTGCGTTAAAAATGATTAAAGAGAGGTAGGAGTTCTGATAAAGAAGAACAATAACATTCAATAAGTTTGTTGTTACATCGTGTGGCTGGGTACGTAGTCCTGAAATAGACTATTTGGTTTGAAAGGATATAGAAACGAAAAAGAAAGTGTGGGAGCAATATTCCGTTTGGTTTTGTCTCATAGATGATTATCTGATACGGTTGGGAGAGAAGTAGAGACAATTAGGAGAGAGAGTATTATTTCGTCAGTGACGTCATGAAAAGACTGGTGGACCGGGTTACGAATGCAGAGAGAGAGAGAGAGCGCGCGAGGCTCGACGTCCCGGCCAGAAGCTGGTTTGATAATTGCTCTTTATCACTCTTACAAACGGTCAACCTGTTCAACCTCTATAATATGGGACAGGAAAAGACCAACACCAAGACCTCGCCCAGTGGATGACTCACTTAAACTATAGGGAAAACTGAATGCAAATCTGTGATTATTGATATAGGTCAACATGCTTCTGGAATTTTTTATAAACGTGATTGGTAGCAAACCACAGGAACCATGTTTGAGTGAAACGAATTTGACTTATTATTCAAGCATGTATTTTCTCAGAATCTCTAACTATCATGCGTACACAAAGTCAATAGGAAGTGACACTCCTGTGGTACAGGTTTCTAGTCTTACCTCCTGTCCCGGTTGTGATCCAGGCGGCTGGATAGCTTCCCAGGTGATCTTCAACGCTGCTATTGGATTCGCTTCACCCAACTCCGAGTCTGTCCTGTTTAGTTTACTCTTTAAGGCTTGAAGAAGGGATCCTCCGTTGTTATCTGAGAGGTCATATTTATCTTGAAGCTAGAACAAATAGTTATATATATATATATATATATGTGAATAGAAATAAAGAACTTTAATATTCAATACATTACAATTGAAAATCATAGTTGAAAATTATAGATAAATATTTAAAATCACTCTAAAGTCTTATCTGGAGATGTGGTTAGTGATTGATTTCCTACCACCCATGTTCAATATATTGTTGGATCATATCATGACAGAATTAATCTCTTGAAGTTTTGAAGGATCGGCCAACAAAGGTGGATTATGTGTTACCAATCTGAGAATTTGCCAACGACATCGACTTGATTACTGGAACACCATATTGCCTTAGTTCCCCCATACACGACGACTGAAATAAATCTTGGCATGAAAAGAAATTCTGAGAAAAGCAAACAAGACCTAAAGACGGGTTCTGGTGAGAATGTAGAAATTAAGATTGGACAACTACAACTGGAAACCGTTGATCAATTAGTTTCTTGGGTAAACAGAGGATGCTAGATATGCAGATAGTCAAAATCAGAATTGCAGTTACCACATCTCCCCTTGCAAGTCTGTAACCAATGACTTTTTGTGTTAGTTGCAGTGCATGCCGATCTGCCATAGATCAGTTTCGAGAATGCAATATCTCCAGAAATCTTTTGCAATTATTGTTGTAGTTGTACCACTTTGTAGTCAAAACTTTGCCCTCGATTTGGAAGTAACTAAATAAATTTGTTTCAGTGGGATGTTTTTAAACTTGTCCTTATTTCAGTTTCGTGAAACTATTACCTGTTTAGTAATTTTATTCAAACTCTTTGAACAAAAGTTGCTCGTAGCCAATCAAATGCTTGCGTTGGGATCAAAAGTTATAGCAGAAACGATAAATGCGTAGTAGACATTCATATACATACTATGAAAACATTGTTGCATGTCGATCTTAAAACAATAATTATAAATGAAATGTTATAAGTATTGTGACACTAAATCATTGTTGTAGCTTTCAATATATTATCAATATCATTATCTTTACTATTCTGATAGTTATCAACCATCGCCTTTTTATATTTTTGATCAATGAAATCCTGATCAACATAGCATCATGTGACTAAACATAACATTGCTATATGATGTAACCGTGACGTCATCCATGGTATAGGGCAAACTATACCATGGCACTTTACCTTGGATGACGTCATATATATGCGATCGATCAGGATCAATGTGATATCGGTCGCGGTCGCGGTACTGTCGTCTGCGCTGCTCTCCCTGCACTCTACACTACTTCAGTGACAGTTAACATAATTTGTATTATTATTATTTTTATGAAGGTTGGTTTGAAAAATATAAAACAAATATATGATGCACTATTTTAAGCCACTAGTTAAAATTATGGATTCCTGCCACCTCGATCCATAATTTCAACTAGAGCTTCACAGTGCATGGTATATTTCGTTCCTGTTTTCACGAAGTGACGGTAGTGAGGAAGATCCGCATGCAAATTGTATGTGATTTTCATTCACTACCGTCACTTCGTGAAAATAGGGACGATTTGTTTACTATTATTTATTTTATATATAAAGTATTTATGCAGATCATCTCATATCTTATCGTTTATACTTTTTGCTGACGACACGAATCTGTTCTTTCCCCCCATAACAATCCATACACTCTTATGCAAACGGTTAGTTCAGAACTATTAAGATTCTTCAATGGATCAATAGAGCAAACAAACTTTCACTTAATCTCCCAAAAAATAAATATATGTTGTTCAGTAACATTATAGATTCACTGCCAAGCAACATTGTATTCGATGACGTCCCGTTGGAGAGTGTTTCTTACACTTATTGTTGGGCGTAACAGTCGACAATAAAGTCTCCTGGAAGTACCATATTGACAACATGTGTGAAATAATATTGGTGTCATGAAAAGATTAAAAACTCATCTCCCTTCATTTCTCTTTGGTCTTACCATATTTAAATTATGGACTCCTCATGTGGGGCAATACACACCTAACTTTAAACATAAGAAAGCTCTTCGTATCATTTGCCTTTCTCATTTTCGCTCTCATACGGATCCTCTTTTCTTTACAAATATAATATTGAAAGTTCAAGATCTTTATCTCTTTCACTTATGCCATTTCATGTTTTTTTATAAGAACAACATGCTTCCTTTCGTTTTTTGATGATATATTTCCCCTAAATAAATCCTCTCATAAGTACACGACTCGGAATTGTAATGACTTTCAATTATTTTTGCTGAGAACCCTTCTAGCTCAAAACAAGTTTATTTATACAGCCCCCCCCCCCCCCCCAATTTTAGAACTCTCTTTATTATGACATCAACTTGCCCCCTCTCTTAATGCATTTTAGAGGAAATTAAAATTGCTTCTAATACTTTTAATAACGCTTCTAATAATCATTTCTTGTCTTCCTTTCCTTTCCTTCCCGTCACGTCTTTTGTTACGCTCTGTATGTATCCTACTATAATTATGGTCACTACCACTGCATTATGCACATCGTGTGCTCTCTCTCACCCTCCTTTCTTCTCTTCTCCACCTCTCCTCTTTTTTTCTTTTATCTTCGCATATGCAGCAACATTTTCTAATCTTCTATTTCTCTCTTTCCTTGCGTTATTTTCTGTTGTCTTATATATATATATATATATATACTTTTTTTAAATTATTATTATTTAGGTCTTATCTGCCTGTCAGTCGTTATTGTCTCTCTTGACCTTTCCATGGTATTAGTTTCGTAACAAGTTTTTTTTTAAATTACGGATTTATAATTGTATTATTATTCTGCACTTTTTTGGGTAATCTTTAAATATTTATTTTTTTCAAGTCAATATATTTACATATTACACAAATTATGTTTGTCATTATTTTGAGGGATCCGCATTTTAAAAGCGGTGCTTTTGAGTGGATCCCTCCATTTCCACAGGTTTATCTTCAAAAAACTTTTAAAAAACATTATATTGGATATTTATGCATACTTTCTATTTCATAACTTTAAACCATGTTAAATGTATCATATTTTTAAATGTTGACTTGTACATGTATATCTGATTTCTTGACAAAATTACTGTTATGTTGAAAATGAAAGACATAACTGAATCCGACTTGGGCTCCGTGTGAACAGATTTGCGTAATTCCTTATTTTGTTTATCCTCCTTATCTTTTAGCCCATAGATTACCAGATGTATACGGTGTTCAATAAGTTTCTAAGCATTATTCGAGATGTTACTTCCCAATTTATTCAAAATTTATCTCTCCTTGGTGGTCGATCACCTGTGAAACACACCTGGTCCTGTTATCGTCCACTAATGATGCAAGGAGGTCCTTATTCATGTCTAGGCTGTTCTATGCTCGCCGGATCCCCCTCTTTAACCCTAATAACCTCTTTAACCCCTCCACGATTTTTCTGATTGCTCGAGAACGCATATGGATGGCGCCCCGCCACTCGCTGACTTTTTTTTTCGAGTCTTGCGCAACTTTTAAAATATTTTTTTTGAAAATCGGACTTACGGTTACAAGGTCACGTGACCTTTTGTCTTAGCATGTAAGCCCGAAAATCGCTCATTTTCGTGATTTGTGAACAAAACATAAGGAAAAGTCATTTTTCCTAAAAACAGATCAAACATGGGTTTTGGGGTCTTGTTTAAAGTTTAGGTGGTTGTTTTGCGTGTCAAAATAGTTGAATTGTAGTAAGAAATGAAATAAAACAACAAAAAAAGTGAAATACAAAAGTTAAAAAAACAATGAAATACATAAGAAATTATCAAAACAAGGGATTACATATGGAATAAGCTGGCTCTTCCAATTGTTTTTGTTGTATTATTATTCAGAACGGTCTAATGAATATATGTAGTCAAAAAGAATGCCTAATTATGAATAATATATGATTTATGGGTAAAAATGTTTTATGACTTTATTTGCATAAATTACCATAAATATGCAAATGAGTGAATTTTTCAAAAAATTAAAATTATCATATTATTTTACACACTTCACTTGACATGCGTGCAATTTTTTGCGGCGATCGCCGCTTCGCGGCCGAGATCTTGAGGAGGGGGGGTCATACGGAAACGTTTGCTTGTATTTGTCTCATAAAAGAATTTGATCACGAACTGACTCCCACACGGTGTTGAGTGCTCAGGGGTCATAGGCCACTGGCTTCATCGGGCAGGTAGTTCCATTATGTGAATGGGTAAATTAACTATTACAAAATGAGGGGACACATTACATTGTACAATAGGGACACACATTGTTTTTATTGTGCAGAACATACTCTTTTATTGACTTACTCATTGCATGGAACAATAAAACCAAAATGCATTTTGTATTCTAACAATTGGAGTACAAAGAATAATAACAGGTGAATGAAATGCATAAACACCACAAACACCTGGGGAGGAAGCATTCATACATTTGAATACGATGAAACTATAAATCCAAAATGAAATTTGCGTTCTGGCAATTGGAGTACAAAGCATGATAGTAGGTGAATGAAATGCTTCAACAGCAACACAAACACCTGGGGAGCTAGGAAGCATCCATAAATTTGAATAATTTAGTTGATAAACGACTCCGCATGTGGACGTTTGTTGGAGCAGAAAGCAGTGGATTCTTAACAACACGAACCCATTTAACAGAATGTCGGAACGTTAATTAAATTTGGCGCGGTTGGAAAATGCATCTTTCTACCCTGCGACTTTAATGGTACGATCCAGTAAATTAAAACAGTAAAATGGGTCTTATTTTAAAATTACTCATTAAACAAAACCCAAAACTTCAGTGATATCAGACAAAATATGTTATATCTTACTAATAATTAAAAAAAGATGTATAAACATTGTGAAAGTGTCGCATTTTACGATAAAAGACACCGATTTAGCGAAAATGACGTCATTAGTGCGCTTGCATCAGGGAATTCAAGGTCAAAATGTCAATTCAGACGCTGATAAGTTATTGGTCGAGCCTTTTTGTTTCCTTTATTCCGAAAAAATTATACAATCAATCAAAATAAGTTTGATACCAGAAGAAAGCTAACGATTAGTATTTTCATTAACCGCTTGCCCCAAAGTCTCTTGACCACAGTGAAACGAGTGAGAGCTTGCGGGAGCGGCCAAAGTGTGATTGAAACTCGCTATTTGCTCTTCTCCAACGCAAAAAGAGACGACATTGTGCTGGATAAATGTGTTTTTTCCCACAAAAGTACAGAACATTTGCATATGGTCTTTTTATATTATACTTTATGAAATGTTACCCGAGTGACTTCCGGGCGCCCCAATGCTGGAAAGAAACGCACATTTTAGAAAACTTCACTTTTTCATGGAAAAATGCTTATTTGTTCTATGCACGCAAGTCAGATTGAGCGGATGATACAACGTTTCCATATGCCCCCCCCCCCCCGGCCATACTAAGACCTCAAATAGCCCGGCCTTATTAGGGTTAAGTTGAATTATTGTTTTGCAGTATTGAGTTTCAAATACTTTTTCTTTCATAATAGACCATAGTTTCTCTATGGGGTTCATTTCTGTCAATTTTTTGGCCAGCTCTCTTTCCTTCTCCAACCTGCTGTTGTTCTAGTATACATCCAGTATACATCGCAGTCTGTTACCAACCAAATGCACATGCATTACTAAACATCCAGTACATGTACATTTAGTGGGTAACAGACTGCACTATTACTAAAGTGGTCATATGAGCAGTTGAGTTGGCAGATAGGGGCGGAACGAAGTTTTTGAGCACGGTATAGTTTTGGAGGTGGACTTTATACATTAAATCTATTCACAATTATTTGGTAAGGTTATTGGTACATGTATTCTTCAATATTTACTCAAATCATACCTGATAAAATATTTTGGGATCACCAATGCTGAGGTCCACTGCAGCTCCTAGGACAGCAATTGACGCCTCTCCACCAGTGAAGAGACGTGGGTTTGTGTACTGAGTCATAGACTTGTCTATCGAACATTTGTCGTTGGAGAACTCGATCATGCCAGTAGATGTGAACTACATGTACATAGGATAATCAAAAAGATATTTGGTTCAGGATTCTGAGCAATCATGGATAATGTTAGATTACACAAAATGCTTTTAGGGACATGGTTAAAAATATTTCCCCAGGCGATCTCAAAAGCTGTACTGTGCCCCGAGACAAAGTTCACGGGCACAGTTTCCAAATCACATTGGATGAATGGTTTACCTGAACAAAATAATCAATCAATATAAGTTCTTTGTAACACATTTCCTGTGTGGCTCCCCCCAAATAATATAAAACCCAAGATAAAATGTACATCAAAAAGTAAAAAGATATGTGATATACAGTATACATTATCATAGATCAACAAAAATCGATATGAATGGGTAATTCAGTCACCCTTTAAATAACACCGCACTATTCGTAAACAAGTAGGGAAAACCCCTGTGTAGTTGTCCATCTGCTTATCCCAATCAGTTTTACCATAGACCTACGGTTTTACAGGGAGGAGAGATCCGGGGGTCACTGCCATTTTCATTAATTACCAGGGACTGATAAACCAAATCATCAATACAACTAGTAGTACTAGAACTAATAATAATACTAATAATAGTAATAGTAATAATAATGATAATGATAATAAAATTAATAACAATAAACCCACCCGTATCGTTGTGTATAGATGCCCGTCGCCGATCGGAATACATGACTTGACGTCAACGCACCCCCAAGCCAGTACGTCAGATTGGAAAGTAATCTGTTCATCAATGTCTGCTCCATAATCCAAGTATATTATCTCTATGAAAATGAAAATAAAAACAATTAAGGAAAAATTGAAAAAAAACTTCGCAGTCGAAAATGATGCCTCTGCTATATAGCGATTGTATAAACCAAACAGAACCAATTTTTAAAATTCAAGTTTGATGGTAATCCATTAACAATGTTCTCAGAATATCGCGATTACAAGCTATTTTTTATATGCATATTATGACCCTTTGATCTTTGACCTCATGACCCTAAAATATAATCAAATACATGACCCATGTTTGGCGGTAATCCATCAAATCGGTTCTTGAGAACGCGATCACGAGCTATTTTTGCATACATAATGAGCTCTGTGAACTCTGACCTTTGACGTCTGACCTCGTGACCCCAACATCTCATTGTCTTTGCAAGATACATAGGCCTACATGACTTAAGTTTGGCGGGAATCGATCCATCAATCAGTTCTCGAGTACGCTTCGTACAGACGGACGGACGGACACCACGAGAATGTATAATGCCTTCGGCTACTTTGTAGAGGAGGCATGGAAATCGATGTATACAGGCAATAACAGGCAATACGATAATTGACATGACCTGGCTCTATTCATCCCATGTATCATGCAAAACTGTCAATCTATACTGCAGCCACAACACAAATCCAATAATGAAGAAATTAGAAAAGCAATATTTGATATGTGCAACGAAAACATTATTTTGTTTCAACTAGAAATCGGAGATTGATCTACACTATTGTTGATGGCAAATGATTTTCATGTTTAGTAGGTAAGTGCGCACAAAGAGAGACTATTTTTGTAGGTAAACACATACAATAAACCCTTTCACGGTCCGACATTGGCGCCATTTTAAATTGCAAGTAAATATTGCGAGTAACTTTTATTATATGCAGCATGCAAGGCGCATGTGTCTAAAAGATGTGAGTGCGCAGCACAGACAGTACCTGGCGCAACAATAAATTTGGGTCTGAAAACATTGATGATGTAATGTTTACTCGCAAACTAAATTGGCGGCCTTAACTGTGAACGGGTGTATTGAAGTAATTATAAATGATCTGACCAAAGACAATAAGCGATAGATAAACGAGTCCTGATGTTTTAATTCGAGCATTATTGATTTTTTTCTTCAAAACAATACATTGGAATGGTTTCAGAAAGTGCATCTACTATGATACATCAGTTTTAATTACACGAGCGAATGTGTGATATGTATGACTCCGCCTAGCCGCGGTACGGGTGCCAGAGGCATTATGTTTTCGGGTTGTTCGGCTGGCGATCACTCCGTACTATAATGTCTGTTCGTCCATCCCTCGGTCCCCCTTTTTCGTTATCGTGATATCCAAGAACCACTTGACATATGAACTTAAAACTTGATGATATTATGTATCACCATAGGAAGAAAATCTGATCGATATTTTTGTGAAAATGTCATACGTAAAATTTCACAGAGGCCAACATATGACATTTAAGGTATTTTTATCGCGATTTCGCAAGAACCACTACAGATACAATGCTCGAGCCTATTGATAATAAGTATCGCAGTAGGAAGACGATCGCGATATAATTAAATTAGGGGTTATAGCTCCCCAAACACAGAGGTCAATTTTGTTTGGCCTTGCTATCAAAATGGTAACAATATTGCTATACGAAGATGATCCTATTCCAGATATAATAATATAATATGTCAAAATCATAGTCATTGGCTGAATATGATTACAGGCTTTTTCTTTTCATCGCGATAAGTCAAGAATAATTTCGTTCATTTCCTATATTGAATTTAGGGCGTTTGCTTTGTTTCAAGTCTTACTGCTAACACTTTCCCACGACAGCTTCGCGAAACCTTGTGGCAAAATCCTGGCTCGATCATTTTCGCTTCTAGCCCCAAGCCTTTCCGATTTATCATTTGGCTTTCTCTGCCCTTCTTCACCCATAACAGTCAAGAGTTTTTTTTAGAGGTCTAGATGTATCAGCTTTTCCTCTTCAATTGGCAATAATAATTTGTATCTCCACTCTTTCATAGCGTTAGAAGGTGAAAGTGGATGTCAAATGAAAGTGTGAATAAAAGCTACGAAAAATGAATAGAGATTATAAATTTGTACATGAAAATAGTGATAATAAATTTCACTCTCCATTGCTATTTAGAAGGTTAAATGTCTATTCAGATTAAAGTCATACTTATCAATGGCTAAGTTTAACATATTGTGACAGAAGTGGATTTCAATTTTCTAGTGTCTTTCGGACTTAATGAACATGAAAAACTTGTAATTCAAAGCATTCTGGATCAAACGATTTGGAAAGTTGTCACTAAAAGGCGACACTAATTTGACATTACTTACCATTGCAATTAATGCCATCATTGCTTAATTTATACCCAGAGTTACATAAACAGCTGTAAGAGCCGACGGAGTTCAAACACGCTCCATTTACAGGATCGCAGGGGCCAGGCAATGGATCATTCAAAGAGCATTCGTTAATATCTAGGAAAAGTAAAAACAAATTTATCCATGGCAGTCAAGAATTTGCTAAAGGCTGCATGAATCAGCTTTCCCTCTTATATTGGCAACAATTATTTGTTTCTCTATGCACTCTTTCATAGTACATGCATGGGTATCACAGCTCCAACCGTTCAAAAATGGGTTTGCACCAGAACAGTCAACTAAAGAGGAGAGAAACTGTCCTTAAATCATCAACACATTTTACATTCATCATTCTCAACAGAATCTTTCTAAAAACTTGGAATTTAAAAATGGTGTACTTGAGATTGTTAGATTAGAAATTATTGAAATCTCCAAGGGGTGAGTGGTAACTTACAATGACGATCTCAAAATGTATTAAGAGGTTAAAGTCACGATATGAGCATAGCATGGCCAAAATCTTTTTTTTAGTAAACATGAATTCCCTTAAAAGCAAAATCTAATTGTATGTATCACAACATATTGATAACACCTAATGTGCGTTACATGAATTTCCATGAAAGCAAAATCTAAGCTGACATCACAAAATATTTATAGCACCTATTAAATGTACGTTACAATAGATCTTCATACCTGTACTACACAAAGCTCCATTGAATCCTGCAGCACATGTACATTCATCGGTATTACAGCTCCCTCCGTTCAGACATGGTTCAAGAGAACAGTCAACTACAGAGAGGAGAGAAAATATCCAAAAATTTAATGACGAATCTTTCCATTTACTATTCAAGTGGAAATGCGAAATGCATGAATGACAAACATACAAAGTTCAATCATTGTCATATCAGCCAGTCAGACGTACAACTCTTTGTTAGGATACTCAGTAAGCAAGAAATACCTAAAGAAAAGAAAAAACTAAGGATCTACCTTAGTCATTGAAGTTGGTTAAATTTCTATCCAAGTCTTATATGTTAATAGTTAATTTTGTATTCTTTTCTAAACCTTGGCAGGAATAGGTTATATTAGTTAAGGTGAATGTAACCTAATTATCTTTGCGTAGTAGTTAAATCACAGACACAGGCAATTCGTTATTATTTTTCAATACTCTAAAAGATAAACTAGAGTTCTGGTTTAAAAAAAAAAAAAATTCTCACAGAATTAAACGAAACTTAAACTGAATGTTTAAAATTACAAATAAATGTCATGTGTCAAACAATTTTGGAAGAAAATGTATACTGGCTGAGTAATGAGCATAGATTTCCCATATACTTCTTTCTTTGTACAGTGCTTGTTACTTTACCAAGACTGGGTCAAATTTATTATGATTTTGAAGACTCCAGAAGCTTGCAGTACACACCAATATTTACATGCTACGTACATGATCAACTTTTTCTGATCCATTCTACAGTACACCTTTTCTTTCACAATGCAATCACATTACCGGAACTCACCTTTATCTTTAAGTACAAATAGACATTTCAAAAGTGGTAAATGAATTCTTATAAATTGAAATGTAGAAATCCTAAAAGATGTTACCGTCACTGCACAGAGATCCAATAAAACCTGATGCACATGTACATGTAGCGTCTGCACAGGTACCTCCGTTCTCACATGGGCTTATGTTGTCAGAAGAGCAGATAACTACAAGGAGAAAAGAAAATATCCTCAAATTTAATGACGATTTTTTTTTTTTCCATTTACTGTTCAAGCGGAAATGCAAAATGCATGAATGACAAACATTCAATGTTCAATAATCATCTTATCAGCCAATAAGACGAATAGGTCTTTGCTAGAATACTCCAGTATAAGGCGATACACGGGGCCGTGGCATCAACACAGACAACTACAAGGAGAAAAAAAAATACCCAATCGTTCCATTCACTTTTCACGTTGAAATTCGAAATGCATGAATGACAAAAGTACAATGTTCATCTTATCAGCCAGTAAGACGGATAACCCTTTGTTAGAATACTCCTCAAGCAAGAGTTAAAATAAAATAAAGTCAAATTTGAGGATGATCTACCTTAGTCATTGAATTATGTTAATTTTATATTTAAGTCACATATGTTGGTCATTTAATATAATCATTTGTAAACCTTGTTTAGAAAATTTTACATTTGTGGAGGTGTATTTCACCTTATTATCTCAGTGTAATAGTGAGATCACAGACAATTTGTAATTATTTGTCGATACTCTAATACAAATAGTCATTTCAAAAGTGGTACATGTATTCAAAAGATCTTACTGTCACTGCAGAGAAGTCCAGTAAAAGGCGATACACATGTACATTCCTCGTCCACACAGCTCCCTCCGTTCACACATGGGGCCGTGGCATCAACACAGACAACTACAAGGAGGAGAGAAAAATATCCCCAATAGTTCCATTCACTTTTCACGTTGAAATTAGAAATGCATGAATGATAAAAGTAAAATGTTCAATGATCGTCTTATAAGCCAGTAAGACGGATAAGTCTTTGTTAGAATACTCTTTAAGCAAGAGTAAAAATAAACTTGAGACAATTTGTAATTATTAGTCGATACTCTAATACAAAAAGTCATTTTAAAAGTGGTGAATATATTTAAAAGATCTTACCGTCACTGCATAGAGGTCCAGTAAAAGGCGATACA